TTGGTCAGAATCTCTCATTCCTCACCTCCTCGGCTTCCAGAGTTGAGGGTAGAATTCAGCTGGGGTCTCTTTCCATAGTAAGATGGTCTTCTTTCCCCAGCCCTGGCTTATGCCCAAGTGGAGGACTTCCCCAGCTGTCTTAGCAAAACAGTGTCAGCACATTCTATCCAGCTGACCCTCAAGGACCCTGTCCTTGGGGGACAGTGCTGACTCTTATGAGGTTCATGAAAACTGTCCTTGGAGCTATATACTGTAATCCTAACACTCAGGGAGGCTGAGGCAGGAGTGTCATAAATTTGAGCCCAGCCTGGACAATCTAACTTTCTAAAAAAAAATTTAAAAACAAATTTAAAAATGAGGCTGGGGAGGTAGCTTAGCATGAAGGCACTCAGTTAAATCCCAGCAGTACACATATACATACACATGCACGGCATGTGAAGCATCCTTAGTATGCCAGATGGAACTGTTTTTGTATTCCTCACATCCCTGATCTTTTCCGGGAACACCTGGACCTCCTTCCAGTACCAAAACCCTGCAACTTGATCCAACCTCTGGCCCTTTGTACTTGTACTTTCTCTGCCTGAGCACTTTTTCCTGGGATGAGGAATTGACTTCTTGTCACTGGTCCATCCCATGGGCCCCCAACTCAGTCACATCACCCTGCTTTGTTGTCTCTGAAACATGATGGCATGATCTCATTCACCCTTGTTCCCCTTCAGCACTTCCCACTGAATGTGGGTCATGGAGAGCTGGGGCCTGGAGTCTAGGAGTGGCTAATTTCAAGCAGAGGCTGCAAGGAGGTTTCTAAGAGCATGACAGTGAGACAAGCCCTCTTACACATGAATGCTCTGGCATAGTTAGTTGCCCTTCACCAGGAAAGAAGGTAAAGAACTAAGACATTTTGGTAACAAAGGAAAAAGAATCAGGTCCATGTGGTTGGTGCCATTTACTGGTAGTCCTTAGCCCCACTGTTCCAGAAGTGGCAGGGACTGTCACCCAGGAGCTCCCTTGCCCCAGGCTCTCTGTGTTCTCCAGCAGTGGGTGGAGGCTGCGCCTTCTCAGCAAGATCTTCCTCAAGCAGTAACAACCACAGATTCTTTTCTTTTTAGGAAATGTGTTCACCTCAGCAGGAACATCCTGGGTTGGCTCCACAAGGATTTCCTGATATATGGGATCACCTTGTTTCTATGGCTTGAAGAAACTGACTTCAGGCTGCACTTGCCCCCACCTCACTTTAATGGGGCCCCACCTCACTGTGGCTCCCAACAAGAAGAAACTGAACTCAAACATTGCCCAAACCTCAGGGCATCAGAGGCCTTTGGCTGCTGTAGTTTGTTAGTTGGCCTCTTTCTAAGGATTTCTGTGGCACTTTCATTCCACTGCCCAGCTTTCCAGTGGCCTCCTCCGGGATGATTTTTAATATCTTGGCCAAATTGAAATGTGAGCCACCTAATTACAATCAGAACACCCTGCCCTTGGAGGAGCGAACGTGATTAAGTGAAGGGCTGTCCCCTCTGCATTTTGTCCTCCCTGAACTTTGAAAGAGATGGGAACTAGATACCTATACCATTCTCTAGTCAGAAAGAGATCAGCACTCCAGTGGCCACAGTCAGCAGAGTTCAGAGTGCCGGTGAGAGTCCCTGCTAGGTGCAAATATCAAGCTCATCCCAGAGTGCATAGAATGGTCCTTCGTCACACAGAGACTCCTAGCCCTGGGTGAACTCTAAGAGAAACTAGGGAAGGATGTCTTTAAACTGACACGGGTGCTTGAAGGTTGCTTATATGACTCATAGGTCCAGAGCTGTGGTCACTGTATGGACCTCAGGGCAAGTGGCCTTTCTACTTCTCACAGTGAACCCAAGGCTGTGCCTTAGGGATCTGAAAACCTCAGGCCAGGTTGTATTCAGAAAGTGCCTAAAAAGTCCCCAGAAGGTCCAACCTGTGTGGCTTGTCTCACTTGTACCCTTTACAGAACACAGCTCCTCTCAGGCTGCTGGGGCCATGCTGACCACAGTAGGTTTGAGCTCATGGCCAAGCACTGGGCCCCATTCTGATCTACACCTTACCACGCCAGCCACTGAGCACACCTGGCCATACCATGGTCTCATTACCTTCCTTCCTCATCTCTATTCCAGGACCTAAATGTCTTCCTTCTAAAAATGTACTCCTCTGGAATCCCCAAGGCCTAGGAGAAAACAGGGGCCACTGGGTGGGCAGGTGGCTTCTCTGAGGAAGCTTTCAGTATACCTGTGGCTCCCCTGGCTCCTCTGCCACCTGCACTCATCAGCATGAATGGCAGTAGTTAACCTGTGCATCGAAGAAGCTGCATCTTAGGAAAATCAGAGCACTACAGACACTTTTAGGACATTTTTATCACCCCTAAAGCATACTTTATGGGTACTTTACCTTTCCTCTCCAAATCCTAAGCAGCATCTAATCTATTTCTTGTTTCTGTCAGTGCTCCTTGTTCTGGAAGTTTCATAGGAATATAATTGCATTCTACGTGACTAGATATTAGCTCGGACTTTATTTCTTCCCCACAATGGAGCCTGCTCGAGATGTTGGTACCCTTCCTGCACCCTGCTGATTTGTACTCAGTGAGTCTTTGAATTCCAAAGAATAAGGCTTAGATAAATAAGGACTTCCTCAGAATCTGGAAGTCAGAGTGGCACTGGGTATCCCATTTCATGAGGTGAGGAAAGAGCTATAAAATCCCAGCTTCTTCATCCTGTTCCTGTTGATTTTCTTGGGTTATTTTACACCCACAGGGTACTGTGTCTTCAAGCTGTCATTCCCTCTGACACTAGGAGCAGCATGCGCATCTTGTTAATGGGGTCCTCCTCCCAAGCCATTTGGTTGGGACCCAAAATGTCCCCCAAAAAGCTGGTTATGTTAAAGACTTGGATGTTCTTTAGAGAAGTCATTGGACCAAGAGACTCTATCAGTGGATTGTTCCATGAATGGCATTATTGGGCAGTGTTGGAAAATAGAGATGAGGCCAGGATAAAGAGACAGCATAGTGCAGATATGCCCTTGGGGACTTTATCTGGCTCCAGACCCCATCTTCTCTGGCCATTTCCCTCATTCTCCACTTCCTGGCTGCCACGAAGTGAACAGTTTTCCTCTGCAGTGCTCTAACACCATGATATTCCTGCCCTTCCACAAACTTATAGTAATGGAGTCAGCTGACCATGAACTAAAACCTCTGAAAATAATTTTTCTTCCTTTGAGTTTATTTTCTCAGGTATTTTGTCATAGTGATGCAAAGCTGATTAACAAACCAAGCAGGCTAGCCCTTAGCCTTGCTAAAACTGGAGGAAAAGAGAGTTCAGAAGTTCCATTCAAAAACTCCACAAAGTGCTAGACATCCAAATGACAGCTGGAGCACATTTACTAGTGGTATTGTCCGCATAGATAGAAAGGAAAACCACAGGCAGTGGCATATGCCTGTAATCCCAGGTCTTGGGAGACTAAGGCAGGAGGATGGTGAGTTCTAGGCCAGCCTGGGCAAAACAATGAGAACTCATAAAAAAAAAAAAAAAAAAAAAAAAAAAAAAAAAGGAGAGAGAGAAAGAAAGAAAAAAATAGATATTTAAAGACTTTAGAGTTTCAAGGGGCATAATTAAATGTCTTAAATGCCAGTGAAATGCAGAGCTTGCCCTCAGCTTGGTGCCATGTGTCATCAGGGTTTTTTGCTGGTCAGGCATGTCACATCAGCACAGCTCTCCTGTGGAGCTTGTGGGACCCAACCCCAACCTCTAGGGCAGAAATCCTGGCAGCACCCTGGAAGCTACTGAAGCCTGTTACCTTCCAGTGGGCAGGCTCAATATTTTTACCTTGTAAGATATATCTCTAAATAGAAAAATGTTTTTTAAGTGACTCAAACCCAAACTTCATTTAAAAATTAAATGCATATTTGGCATTTTATCACTTTACAGTGCTTCTGACTTTAAAATAACAGAGCACAGGGATTCCAGATTAAACAGAGTAACTGAGTAGTTGATTCTGACTTAGTTTGTTGGTGGAAAGCTTCTCAAACTGAGATGTAGTTTTGGACGTGTAAGAAATTATAAGGATCACCACAAAGTTTTTTCAGTCTTTGGCAAAATTGAACAGTCAAACTAATAGAGTACCTTAAACAGAAATGGAGTTTTAAAATTTTATAATTTCAATTTAAAATGTTTAAAGATTATATAAGTTTTCAAATGGGATCAAATGATAAAGCCTACCACCCAAAGGCATTGACATTTTTTAAGCTTAAAACTATAATATCATACTTTATAAGCTGAATTTAAAAACCTTAAAAAACAGAAGCATTTCCTTTAACCCCTGGTAACCACGATTTTACTTTCCATTGTTAGGATTTTACTATTCTAGGGACCACAGATGAGTGGCACTGCACAGTATTTGTCCTTTAGTAACTGACTAATCTTACTTAGCGTGAGGTTTGTCATAGCACGTGTCAGAATTACCTTTCTGAACCATATTTCACAATACGTCTATGCCACATTTTATCTATTCATTTATTGATGGACATTTAGGTTGCTTCTATTTTTTGCATGTTGTCATTAATGTAGCTATTTGCTTTTAAGTCATTTGGGTTTTTACCTAGAAATAGAACTTCTAGGTCATATGATAATTATATAATTATATAATTATATTTTTAATTTATTAAGGAATCACTATGCTGTTTTCTGCAGTGGCTGCACCATTTTATATTCCTGCCAGCAGTACACGAGGGTTCCAGTTTCTCTATATTTTCACCAACCTGATTATTCATTTTTGCTTTGTTTGTTTGCTTGTTTTGCTTTTTAAGATAATCTTGACAGCCAGGCTGGCCTGAACCCATGATCCCCCTCAGCCTCTCAGGTGATGAAATCACAGGCTTATATCACTATCCCTGGCTGTTGGTTTTTATTTTATTTTTTGATAATAGCCAGTTTAATGGTTATGAGCTGGTGCCTTATTGTAGTTTTGATTTTTATTTCTCTCATAATTAGGTCCCATGAGCATCTAGGACCTACATAATGAAGTCAGGGCCACATTTGGCCTAGGATGGACCCAGGATAGAACCAGAATAGACTCAGACTCAGCCTACCAGGACCCGGCCCCAGCCTACTGTGGACACATCCCAAGCATGATGGACCCAGGCTCAGAACAAACTGGATCCAGGATCCATCCAGGTAGCTTTTGAAAGACAAAAGTACATTACAGCCAATGCACCCCATATTAGAGAAAGGCTTCTTAGAGCTGTTTCATGATATCATCATAGGCTTTAATGTTAATGGCATTTATCCTGATTGCATTAAAAATTCTTTTTAAAAAGCATTCTCTCACTTTTACACAGATCTGTAAAAATCCCCAGGAATCAGTGGATTTGGCTAAAGATCAGTGGGGCAAATAGTTGATAGAACTCTCCCATTCTATGACCCCTAAATTCCTGCAGAATTAGCAGAAAGAACTTAAACATCCAGGGAGAACTCTGCTGTACCTCAGGAGAGGGTAGACATCATGCTGGGTGCCACTTCTGCCCCTTTCTCAGGGTTCCCACCAGCCTGCCCTCACCACTTCCAACACTGTGCTTAGGTGGGCCTCCTGCTAAATTGCGGAAAGCACAGTAGAGAATAGGTCATCCTACACCTGGGGTTCTCACTGGGCCCAGCAGCAGATATTGGTGTAGACCTGCCCATTGACAGATCTCCTTGGTTAAGTCTCCCATTACTCAGAGGAGATACTAGAAGTCAAGGAATATACTAGAATGAGGCTGTAGGTGTCAAGCAGTTTCAGAGCCTAAGCTGTATTGCCAAAGAATGCATACACACACGTAGAAGACATTAGGGTTGGGGGCTGGGTAGGGGTGATTAGGTCAGGGGATGGGGCTCAGGCTCTCAGTGAGGCAGAAGGGAAATTCAGGAGATTGGAGAAAGGCATCCCTCATTAACAGATGGATTAATCAAGGGCTTTTGCTCTTAAATGAGCTGTGTTATCTGTACTTGTGGCTGTGCCACTGTCTGGTGACCAGGACAGCCTGCCTAGTGCATTCAGGATGACTGTGTTAAAGAAAAAGAGCTAGACATGTGCTATTTAAAAATCCCTGCTGAGGTTGCTCCGACCTCCGTACCATCTAAGTGGTAAAATTCAGCAACCCACCTTAAGCCCTATCCTAGGTCATCCATCCCAGAGCAGGCAAGTAGTTCTTGGATAAAGTGTGGATTTGAGGCAGGATGGCATGGCCTGGAGCTTCATCTGGTTGCTGTCTCAGCTTCCAGGGCTGTGCATGTAAATCCTTGCTTGTCAGCTTGAGAGAAATAACCAGGGCATGACCTCAGGCAGGGTGTGCTCCCAGGTGGCTGTGTCTCCAGGGCAAGGGATGGCTCTAAGAATCACATCACAATGTCTGTCTACAATGGGGGAGATTGGGTAGTAGCCTTCCTTGCTAACCTTCCCTGTCTGTGTCCTCATCCCCTCCTGGATGGTATCCCTGAGCCCATCCTGGACTCCTGTGAGTCCAGCTGAAGTTTCTGTCAGGGACTCTGTGCTTGAGGTCTTAGCATAGCCACTCCCCTGGGTTCCTATGGCAGTCTCAGGAAGCTGTGGCTAAATTTAGGCTTAGCCGCCACTCCCCTTTGGTGCAAGCAGAGAATGTCCTTCGGATGAAACAAACTTTGGCCCTAATTGGCAGTGTTCATTTCATGTCTAAAATTGATCACAAGGTGCTGGTTCTTTTCTATGAAACACTTTCCAGAATTTCTATAAAGAAGGGTTTAAAATAGGCTAGCTAAGAGCCGTAGAGAGATATGACCCAATTATTGGTCAGAAGTGAGAAGCAGGTATCCGTTGGGAACAATCACCTGTATTGAGCCTTCCCTTCAGTGAACAGAGAACTGTTACTGACCCTGAGTCCTTTGTAGACCAATGCTTGTTTCTCACCAAATTTTCACAGAATCATACTTCTGACTTACCCTAAAGTTTTTTGTTCAAAATCTTCAGCCTGTATATTTATCATTTGGCTCTCACTCAGGGCATATTCTTTTACCTGCTGGGCCCATCTTATCACATAACTGCCCCAAGTAGCATCAGAATTTATATGTTTTGTTCCAGGACCATTTGTGGGGACTTCTCCCCCACCTCTTCCTTCTGGACCATCATGTAGCATCAACATGAACTTCAAGCTTCCAACAGCGACCTGGACTCTGAAAAGTATCTCAGATCTCCGCATCCATTTTTTCACTCCCAATTTGAGATTCCTCGGTTTTTTCCCTAAGCTTCTGGGCCCAAGAGATGACACTAAGCCCATCCCCTTAACCTAGACTGTGGAAGGCATCAGTTAAAAACAAGGAGGGCCACCACAGAACAGGAGAAAATGAGCATAACAGACACATGACTGCCCTGGGGGAGGCAGGGGTCATGGACCTCAGAGGGGGACAAATGTACCAGAATGATTATAGAGACATGGTAAAGATCAGTGCCAGATCAAGTGCCATGAAAATGGCACTGGGTGATGGGATTTCCAATAGATTCCTCGGTTCTTGTGCACAATGAAAAAAGAATGGATTATAGCATGTGACAGTAAAGAAAAAGTAGCAAAGTTTTAATCAGGTGACAGTACACTCTGAGTGAGTGGGCTAATGCCAATGGAAAGGAAAATGGCACAAGTGCTAAAAGAATTAGATTTAAAAATTTGATATATTGTGCCAGGTCTAGGGCATCTCCCATTTGGTTTTCCAGAGATTGATTGACACATGGTTGACAAGGTGCTGAGTCCTGTCAGCTGTATCTATTGCACATGTCCTGGTCCATAATTTACTCTGTCATAATTGGATGTATGAGATGCAATTCATATGTATGAACCTTCAGTGAGCTCTAAGTGAAGGAAAGTTATTGCAAATCATAATAGCCGGTCTGGCATGCACTCGTCTTGATTTGGGATTTCAGAACTTTCCAGGGAAGGTTGAGTGGTCTTTGTTTGCCTTATCTCTGCCTCCTGGTAGTGAGACTGCCAACAAAGTTTGAGAGGTTGGCCCTGGAGCATCACCCAGGTTCATGTGAGTGGAAGGGAATTCCCCACAAGCAGTAGTACAACATCACTTAGTTTGGGGTCAGTTGACCTTTCTGGAGAAATAGCATTTGAAGAGTGACCCTGGTAGAGAGAAGTGACTCTGCTATCCAAAGGAATACATTTGCTTAGCTTCTTTCTTGAAACCAGTTAGACAGTTGGACACCAGTAGGCCTGAAGGACAAGGGGGAGGACACAGGGGAGGTCAAAATAGCATGTTAAGTTTAAAATAAAAAGACTTCTATGTATAATACATTTGTGGTCTCAGACCTAAAATGATCCTATAGAATACAATGATGTTTCAAGATTATGTAATATCTGGCCACCTATCCATCTTTTTCCAAAACAAAGCATACAGCGTTCCTGAATATCATCTCCAGTAATATCAGAAAGGGGAAATTTTTTAAGGACCCTCTCCTTAGGCTAAGATTCTTAGATGATCATCTAAAAGGAACAAGGAAAACATTTTTGAGATATCTACATTCCAAAATAATCCTAAGAGAAATGTGGATAAACATAATTCCCTAAGCCCCAGGAGTAATATTTGTGTGCATGAACATATACTCAAACTCACACTTGGTGTGTGTGCCATTGTGACACTGCCTGCCTCCTTGTGTGAGGTGACACTACCTGCCTCCTCTCTATATCTTCTTTACAATAAACCCTATCTATAGTTCTGCAAGGCTGCCTGTGTGTCTTGACCAAATTTTCTCAACAAGAGCCTTTGGAACTGAGGAGCAAGAATGATGAATCAATTCTTTGCCACGTCAGGATCTGGCTTCCCAGTGACAACTGCTATCCTAGTCAAGCTGCCATGTTAACCTAAAAACAAGTCTGGCTCAGGAATTTATTAAACAGTTGTTACATGCCAGGCACAGGGCAGGTGGGCATAGGGTGAGTGATACTTCAGTTATTCAGCTTGGTTCAGTTCGTGTGTATGTGTGTGTGTATGTATGCGTGTGCATGTGCATGTGTGTGTGCGTGTGCTTGTGTGTGACTATGTATCTCCATAACCAGCTGTGTTGTGTGAAGACTAAACTAGGCAGAATATAACACTGAATTAACACAAAGATAATATCTTAGGAGAACAGAACGTCAAAAAAAAAAAAAAAGAAGAGAAACCCACAAAGGTTGTATTATCCAGCTTTTCGTCCCTGTGACTGAATATCTGAGAAAAATGACTTAAAGAAAGGTTTACTGCGGCTTATGCTTTCAGAAGTTTCAGCTGATGGTCAGTCGGTTCTACTGTTTTGGGGCCTGTGGCAAGACAGAGACATCATGCAGAGAGGTAGAGCAGAGCCGTTCACCTCAGGTCATTGAGTAAGCAGAGAGGGAGGGCCTAAGGACAAGATATACCCTGCAAAGTCACACTTCCAGTGAACTGCTTCCTCCAGCCAGCCCCCACCAGCTAGGAGCACACTGATAAACCACCCAGAGCCCTCACAATCCCACCACTTCTCTAAGCCCCACCTCTGATCAAACCCCCAGTACATGAATCTTTGGGGGGATATTTCATATTTAAACCCTAACGAAGGGGTTAAAGTATTGAGGAAAAACTGACATGTTGAAAAGAAGCAAAGAAGACACAATATATGAATAACAGGCCCTCAAAGAGGAACTCCAAGCCAAGTGAACAGAATTAAATGTTTACATTCAATATTTATTTTTCCAAAGTAACAAGCTTTGGGTTATAATATTGAAAGAGCACACTGTGTACTCGAAAATATTGTTCAGGATGTTCCAAACTAATTGTTAGCTTTCCATACTATGAAAAAGCACCTGAGAAAATCAGTTTAGGGAAGAAAGATTGATTTTGGCTCATGGTCTCCTAGGTTTCAGTCTGAAGTCAGCTGGCTCTGTGATGCTGGGCTGGTAAGGAGAACATAATGATGGAGCATGTGCAGAGCAAGGCTGCTCATGGTCAACAGGAGAGAGACAGAGACAGAGTCTAGAGTTCTTTAAAGACACTACATGGTAGCCTTCTTCCTCCAGTAGACCCCACCTCATGACACTTTCACTGTCTCCCAACAGCACCATCAGCTGAGGGGCAAGGCTTTAGCACATGATCTTTGGGGGATATTTAAGAGCCAAGCCATGACATGAAGACATAGTCTAGTAGAATTGCTGTAATGCTTGATTTGCTGAATCAACTTGAGAAGTTTAGAACATTAACTAAATTGGCTTAACATTTCTACACCCTGGGATGTAGAAGGCCCATCCTAGGACAATTCACCTGGATGGTATAAAGGAGAAATAAGGAAGGATGGATCTGCTTCTGTTCTTTGGAGGAGCCCTAGTCTTTACCTTCAGCTTGGATGTCATCTTCTGGCTTCCAGCACAGACTCTTCAACCTGTTGTAGACTCTTCAACCTTCCGTCACAGACCCATGAACCTCCAGTATTACTTGAATAGGTCACTGCAGTGAGCTCCAGACCTTGGACTGAATTCTTCAGTCTCCAGTATGCAGACACTCTCTGACTCTTTCTCATCTGGGTCTGTGGGTGACCATCTTAAACCAATCTTGCAGTTTCTTATACATTTGAATATCTTATGTCATATCTCTTATTGGCTGATACAGTCGCCATGGTCATATATGGGGGAGCAAGTGTATAATCAAATTGGTCATCTTATGAAGATGACAGGAACCACATTATGATCTTGAAAATTGGTATAAAAGAGTGGGGAGGGCAGGCATTGATGCTGTCCTTTATCCACAGCTGGACAATCAGGCAGACTTACGGCAGATTTGGAGAGCTGCCATTTCATAAATTTGCCAAGTTGTGACTGAAAGGAAATGGCAGGATCTGAATTGTCACCATTTTGCAAACACATGTTCCTTAAAGAATGAATAGACTTGGCTGATTGGCCTCCAGTTGCTTCCATCAGAGAAAGAGTGGCAGCCAGTCCCAAGAAGCCTCTTGAGGGACAGTCACCACCTACCTGGAGTCCTGCCAGAGGAACTGATCCTACCCAGTTCCAGCTATCACATGTGCATGGGGCAGCAGTAAATACAGTGGACATTATATTGCAGAGAAACCATATGCAAAAGGTGGGGGTCCTGGGGAGTAGAAAGGACTTAACGACAACATCAGTTTTAAAATCAAGGAAAGACCTGTGAGGTCTCAGGACACAAACCTGGGTGCCCACATGCAGATGAAGCAGGGGCTGCAGCTCTTGGAAACCCTTTTGGGGCAGGTGATGCTAATACAAACCACACATTTCTTTGTTCTTTTTTATTTTACAATAAATAGGCTAAAAGAAGATGCCAGATCCAGCTAGTGTGCCTTTGGAGGAATCTTCCCTCTAAGGAGGCCAGTTATCTCCTCTCTGCTCTCCCACTTGGTTCAGGAAGGCCTTGGGATAAAGCTCTGAACTTAAACCCAAGTCAGTTCCTGGGGAGGGAAAGCACCTGGAAGTCCCCAGAACCTCAACATCCATCAGTACAGGCTCATTGAGGACCTGACAACTTAGAGAGAGAAAGCATCCTGTCAGGACACGAGGTTCCCATAGAAAAGAGCTCCTCACCTCTCCCAAACCAACCTTGCCCATGAGCAGTCTGTGTGTAAATCACGGGAAAGGATTGGTCTCCACTAAAGCATCCAGGGCCAGGTGGATTCTGAGAAATCCTTGGAGTGCAGCAGAGACCTTCTCAGAAGGAGAAGCTCTGCCAGCCCTCCTGGGACACATGAACTCCCATCCCAGCTGGCACAACAGGAGCTTATAGGACTGTGGACCGATGGTATGAAACAAAGGAAGACTACTATTTTGAAGATACAGGAAAAGAACCGCAGCAGAAAACTCTTTGACATTTACCATTCCACACGAGAGGCAAAGCTCCCTGCATAAGAAGTATCTTCAAAACATACCAAGAGAGATGAAAAAATGGGGCATGGAAGAATGGAGACAGATCCCTGCAAAGACACCAAGGTGCAGCAGAATTCAGGGCAAGGGAGCAGGAAGAATCTACACCCACAGAATCCAGGCAGGCTTCTCGAGAGCAGCTAGAGATCTGGGGGCAGCTGGAGCCCACTGGGAAAGAAAAGAAGCAGAAACCAGAGCACCAAGCAACAGGAATAATGAGGAAAACATTTCAAGGAACAAAGATTTGGAAAAACACAGAGGACTCCAGTCAGTGGAGCACTAATGACCCTGGAACCGAAATCTGGCAGGCTCAATTTCTCTGAAATGCCATCTTTCAGCTGTATTCATTCAAGAAGCCCAGGCCAGCATGGCTGTACAAGAGTTTTGACATGCATTTGCCTCAAAGTTCTGCAAATATTCCTCCACTTCACATTAAATATATAAATGCATTTATTGTCTTATAAATAATATTTGATATTTAATTTTTAATAAACTGAAATGATCGGCACACTTGTTCATATCAGTATATAAAAATATTACTGGTGATGATAGTTGTAACAATGTAAACATAATGCTACCTATGTGTCTTCAAAAAATTCCTTGAAGATACACTTTGAGCAACTGAAAAATGGAATACACAACATCAAGAGTAAGTGCTAGTGTAAAATGTGGACTCTAGGCAATGGTGTGTCTGCAGAGGTTCACCATGGTGATAGATGAACCACACTTCGGATGCTGAGACCTGGGGAGACTGTGGCCGGGAAGGGAGCAGGGAGAATATGGGAGATTTCTGCGCCTCCCTGTCAATTTGGCTGTGAATCTCAACCCACTTTCAAATAAATACCTTTAAAGATTCAAACTACAAATAAAAAAGCATAGAAATTAACTACTAGAATACCCAGGTCAGGACCTTTAGGCAGCCCCGTCTGCCCTCTGCACATCTGAGATGCGTTTCTCCACACACCCTCCCCTAGAGTTTAGGTGCCTTCTCTCCTGCTTTGGATGACCACATGACTAGGTGCCAGCAGCTCACATGGCCCAGCACTGGTAGCACTTTTTGCATGGTTGGGCCAGCACAAGGCAGTACAGCAGCAGAGGAGTGTACTGAACCAATGATTGTGAAGAATGCTTTGTTGCGTAATATGTAGTCATGTGTCAGGTCATGTGGAGCATTTTATTTTTATTTGTATAGAATAACAAACCATGACCACCAAGCTCCCTGACACCAAGTTTTTCCTTACTTCATCCTCCACCAGGAACATGGTATTTTTCTGCTACCCTAGCTCTAAAAGCAGCACCTGTGGAAGCTGGCAGGCTGGAGCCCCTTAGGAAGAGCCAGGAAAGCCAAGCAGTAGGTGTAGTCTTTTTTTTTTTTTTTTGTCTTTTTCGTTTTTATCGGTACCGGGGATCGAACTCACGACTGCGTGCTTGCAAGGCAGGCGCTTATGCCACTGAGCTAGATCCCCAGCCCCTAGTAGGTGTAGTCTTGACGATGTTTAATTCCTTCATATACTTCCTGGGGTATATTACTTCTCTACGCTACTGATCAAGCTTTGCCTTTATGATCAGAAGATTAAAATTTAATCCATAATGTCAGTGCTGTCTATGTACCACCTGATCTCTGGGTAAAATCATTCCTGAGCACAAAATATTCGGGGAAAAGCTCTGCGGTAGATAGATGGCCAGCACCAGGGAGCCTTGTCTTTTCTTCTAGGTGATATGCTTGCCAACTTTCCCATGGTAAAGAAGTGTTACTTTAAAGCAGAAACCTCCTTAATTTAAAACTTGAAAACACAGAGACATAAGAGGAAGTCCTCCACTAAGGCAGTAAGTGGGACATGGTCTCAGCTGCCCATCAAACGGCAGCGGTCCTCCTGGTGAGGTTTGGGCTAAAAATGAACTTTTAGGTTTGATTTGGAGACAGGATTCTCTTCAGGGGTGAGAGCCCAACTTCACAGGGCAGAAGATGGTGGAGGAAGGGCACAGAGAGGTGCCTGACTGTGCTAGGCAGGCGCCCAGGGGACTGAGGGCCTGAGGAGCTCTTTCTCAAGTAAAAGCCATCAGGTAGAACCTGGAGGCAAGCACTGATGCTGTGCATATTCATGGAAAAGCTCACAGCAACACTAAAGACATTCAAGGAGTAAACATTCAGAGATCAATGGTGGCAGGCACCTGTGTAGTCACCGTGACTCACCTCTTGCCAGGTCAGGTCAAGGCGAGGATGGCACTGGGGGCCACC